GTGACATACTGGGTAGTTTCACTTCCATCGCGAAGAGCGCCTTCCGGCGACCCCCGCGACTCATCTTACCGGCTACCATAGCGATGGTGATATCCTGGACACTCGCGCAGTTTGATGGGTATCTGACTGCGCTAAGGTCCGATTGCTGGTGGTGTCGGTATGCGGCGCCAAAGGTGAAGGAGACGCTTTGGGAGGAGGTGATTGAGCTGGGGAGGAACTTTTTGAGTGTGTGGACGAATGGGTTTATGGCGTATGATGACCATCAATGGGCGTTGTTGCCGCTGTTGTTGGCGTCGATGTTGATTTATGGGACGCTTGTTGCGACGATGTTTGTTAGGTGGAGGTGGAGGGTGGGGGTTTATTTGGGGTTGTTTTTGTATTTTCATCAGAGTAGGGTGGAGAATGTTGGTACGCTACGTCCTCCCTGTTTGCGTGTTTGTGTCGTGTCGTGGTGGGTGCTAACTGCTGACTGCAGAGACGTTCCAAATGCAAGCCATCTACGGCATGTTCCTCAGCGACCTCGCCTACGATTCCTCCTTTAAGAACTTCATCGAAAACCACACCTGGATCCGCAAGATGATATCTGTACCATTGGCAATAACCGGCCTCTTCATAGCAGGTTACCCCGGTGAACACCCCGAATGGTCCACCTGGTCAAACTACATGTACGAAATGGCATACTACATCTTCCCCCCCGAAGTCAACATCGGCAAACGCTACACATCCCTCGGCGTCGATCTAATAATCTTCGCCATCTACATCTCCCCCTCTACAAAGGACTTTCTCTCAAACCGTCTCCTGCTCTGGCTCGGGAAGCAGTCTTTCGCTGTATATCTAGTCCACGGGACACTCCTCCGCACAGTACTGTGCTGGATGTTATACGGTATCACAGCGCAGCCATGGGACCCTATCTTCGATGAGAACGGGGAGTTTGCGGTTGAGCCGTGGATACCTATTCGCGGGCCAGTTGTTGTGGGGATCAGTATTCCCGTTTGGATTGCGATTGTGTATGTTTGTGCGGCGGGGTGGACGAGGTATGTTGATACGTTCTGTGCCAGGATTACGATGAGGTTGGAGGAGTGGATGTTTGTCGGGGATGAGAAGAGTGGTGCTGGTGGGGAGGCGCTGGCGTTGCCGTTGGTTTCGGTGCCAATGAGGACTACTTGATTTTTTTTTTTTTTTTCTTTGGTTTATTGTTTGTTGTTTGGATTGGGATGGGTTTGGGTTTGGTACGATACTGGGGGATTGTTGGTGCCTGGTATCCCTGCATATGGCAGTTACACAGGTGGCTGGTCCATTGTGTTACTGCGCTGTTTGCTGTGCTTATTTGCTTTCGAGATGCATCGGGTTGCATGGGGTTGCATGGGGTTGCATCGAGCTGAGTTGGTCGTGTGAGTATTTACCCAGGAGTAATCCGTACTTACTGTGTTGGACGCTGGACGTGTCCTGTGTATATTGCATAAATGTGTTGCATTTTATTCGATATCTAGGGGAATTGTCAGATTGGATTGGATTCGATTGTAATTCTGTTGGACATATTCCGTGATCTGAGGTCTGGTGTAGATGTATATTCACATCTCTCCAGTATTGGAGTAATATTAGTCACATGTCAGTGAATAATCTATCCAATCTCAAGCCTCAATATCCAAATAATTCATCTGTATCCATTCACTCACTAGAGGATGATTCTGAATTATGTAGACTGATGTCCACTCATCAGCCATCACTCTATCGGTTTCCAATTCTTCCATGTCTGCTGCATTCATGTCTCCAATAACTTATTATCATCAAGGATAATATAGTCCGACTTGATAAATATGGAGCAACGGCTACTCGGGAATGCCTTTCCTACATGAGTGGTTTCTGGACACCATCCCGATCATACAAACATGGACGGAATATACCCGATGAACATGTTTCAGACTAGCTCCAGCTACAATTCAAGGAAAGCCGAAACGGTTCAATTCACTAGGGAAGAGGACCAACCCTCGAATACCACAGAAGCAAAAAAAAAAACGTGGAAATAGGCAATACGCAAACCTTTCAGCTCTGGCATAACGCAGCGACTTCAATAGCACCGGACACAGGTATCTAAATACCCTCGACAAAAGGCAGAATATTTACTGCCCTGTCGCTTTGTATCTCGCTTCTGGGGTTGATATAGATTAGAGAGGTCTTGGATTGCCTCGCTATTTCATTTTGCCAAATGGATCAGCGGAGCAAAAATGGTCTTTTCGTCTATGAATAATGAAGAAGTCGGGACCTACATATTGCGCCTGATGGAGCGCCACGAACGTTCGAGGCGTGTGGTTATACCTTCTGATTTACAGTTACTGGGAAATACAGATCGGGACCGAAAGAGTATCGTTGTCCATTTTTTGGCCACGCACGTTTCCCGACGGTGTTATAGATAAACATCCTAAAGGCCACCAGCGAACGCCCCACGAATAATTACTGCTATTATGAAATCGTGAGCAAAGTGGCCCTGGGTTTAGATGTGGTAGACAGTTGGTGGCCATATTTATAAGCCAGAAAGTTCGCACAGGAGGGGTTTATCTTTTTTTTTTTTTTTTTTTTTTTTTTTACGCTCCCCATCACGTCGGATTCTATCGACAAAGGCTCTTTGGAGATCATGCCGTCGAATGATATATGCACAAACTATGGAAGCACATTGATCAAGCCTTTTTACGACCACATAATACCAGATCGAGAGCGTCGATCTATTGGGATATTGGACTGCTGCTTTTCCGGGGCAATGCGTGGAAAGTATCCTCGCCGAGTACAATAAGTTCGACATACTATGCAGATCGCACGTTGCAAAGGACTATTGCGACGAAAGGCCTTGGGCAGCTATCACCCAAACACTAGAATTCTCACCGGTATAAAGAGTAACCAAGTGTGGTCTCTGGTCAAACTGGCAAGCCTAGGGGGGATGCAAATGCTTCCCGTTATGGTGTATGAACCCTACTGCAAAATGGGACAGGATTCGATGAAACCCCACAATATATTTAACGGTATGGATACTCCATGGAAAATGGAAGGACACTGGACCAGTTGAATGTTAGCATGGAAAAGCAAGGGTTCAAGGGTTGCTCCTTGGTCTTGGGGCTATATTTACATGTCAATGATTTGACCGAAAACCATCCGCTACTTGGTACCACCTGCATCAGACACAAAAGTATCGACAGTCATGGCCTATGTTGATCCGTTTCTACGAATGGTGAAATACATACGGGGAAAATTCATCAGAAGACGTTTTCAAATCAACATAGGCCGTATAGTCGAATATCTGTCGGATCTACGGACTCTCAACAAGGGCAGAATTTAGGGTGAGGCATAGCGGCACGGTGAAGATAACCACTCCAATCCGACGAGAAGGTCGCGGCAACCTGAACCCCTTCAACCACCACATCGCCCTTCACTATGCCTTTAGCAATAAAGCTATTCAATCTGGTGACACAACTGTCTTCACAACTAATGACCCCATTGCCCTCCCTCCCCCCTGCCCAAGACAGCCCTTGTTGAAATGCAATGCATACTTAACAGGGCCACCGCCCTGCACCATTTAGTTTGGAGGTGCGATCAGACGAGAGAATATATGTCGAACGAACCGTCTATCAAGGCGTTACTACTGTTCTTGAGAAATCCGGTTCCCTTCGTGTCATGAGGAGTACCTCTGGCGTTGGTATAACGTCCAGGAAAGTGAATTCTTATTATATCATACGGAATATAAATCACGGGGTCGACATACCAGAGAAAGGTGTTCACATAGGACTATCACTCCTAAGAATGGCTCAGCAAGCAGGAATTCTATTTTGTTTTATCTACAGCTATTGATCAAGCTGAAGTGCTATGATTCAATCCGCTGACCACAACATGTCAAAAATGGTCTCTCAGCCATTTAGAAAGGATATCGGAGCTTGAATTATGCTTGACTGATGAGTGGCACCGCTTATATCGACAGAAAGTCCCTATCGAGTGAGATACCCACGCTGGAACTCCGCGAGGGAGATGTGAGGATTGCCGTGCTCGTTAAGGCTCCCAGGTTGCCCAAGCGATGTGGCGCCCAATCCGTAGTTACATGAAGGCGGAAATCGACTCATATCTCTGCCATTCAATTTCTCACAAGTCAACGTCCTAGTGACTCGGATTGCCCAAACCTGGGCTCTACAGTGCCCTGGTTAATCCCTCGGTTGCTGGAGAAGCCGGAAATTCCCAAGAAGCCAGAAGATAGCGCTCTCGGTTCTCGGAAAATTCAGCGCTTTTTCCGTATCTAGATCAGCAATGTGTACACATATGTCAACATTTTGTCTTGAACCAATCGCTGGAATTGTTGGTTCGTGTTATGATGTTGCCATCTGTGACTTTCTTGCGGATGAGATTTTATAATCTCCATCCGGCATACAACAAATTGGTGCGTCTCTTGGAAAGTCGTACCGTATTCTCTCTGACCGTGTTTTTTGGTCGAGGCTTTCCGATGGCAACCCATTGCCTCGAGTTTTCGGTCCATGGATGTTTTTTGAAAAGTAGCTAATACTCCAATGTCATTACAGCTGACGGGTGTCGAATACACATCACTTGTCAATTAAGATAGAGTTAGGGTCAACCACGGTGCATACCAGGAACGAGTTTATAGGTCAATTATCGGAACCGAACTTTCAATAAGCGACTTCAGAAGCATAGCATCGTTGGTCTAGTGGTAGAATTCGTCGTTGCCATCGACGAGGCCCGTGTTCGATTCACGGACGATGCATTCTTTTTTGCTGTTTTTATTTTTATCCGCCACAGCCAGATACGCAGCTTATCCTTTTTTATTCTTATCATACGTTGAATTTTATCAGATGTCTCGTCAATTATGTACTCCATACATCTGAAAATTATCAAATTAGACTCCATGTCAATACAGCCGAAGCCCACTATGACGGGAGCGTATGGAGTGGCTTGCGGAAGTCTTCAGGACCGTGAGACGGGGACTTGTCTGCTGCTAAGTGGATGCAATTCGGCCATTAAAGGAAACCATACCATTCGTTGACCTCTGGAAGCAGGGAGAGATTGTTGGGCCTCTTGAGGTCCCCGAGAACTTGCGCACAGAGGAATTCTATCTCGGAGACTTTGGTCTGGCGATGAAAGTTGACGACCCCATGACTCAACAGGGCTATCCGCCTAGTCAATTTTGCTCGCCAGATCGCTTCCATGGGAAACATCCAAGTTATGCCTGTAACATGTGGACTTTTATGGTCCTCTTTTCAGTGCTTTATCCTGACTATCCGCTTTTTCCTACCTGGGCTGGGGGCGGAATAATAGGGGGTTTGGTCAGACGTCTGGGTCCACTACCTGAGGAGTGGAAGGGTCTTTACACTCCTCCCAAAGGCTCTGATTCCTGGAACGATCAGGGTCAAACGGCCGATCCAAATGATGACCTTGCACATACAATTGCTCGCTTTCGTCCAGACACGGATTCAAATGAGCAAGAACTTGCGCTCTCCATCATTTTGAAAGTATTTACTTACTGTCCGGAGAAATGTCCGACTGCAACACAGCTTCCGCAAGATCCTTCATTCAGAGCGCTCATGGAAAAACATGGTTGTTGATGTCATATTCCCGTGACCTTTGTGCTGTATTGCTGTTTCTATTTCCTTTTTTCTTTTCCCCTGGAGGGATTTTCTTTTTTGTTTCGAAAATGTGAATCCAAGCTTTTGTGATCTAGAAGAATGATAATATTATCAATATTTGCACATAAGCAACTCGTGCCAGCTTGACTATGTAAGCTACCTCAAACTAGTAGACTTCAAATGACCAATACAAGGAGCATATAAGATGTAATTTCCTGCCGTAGTGACACTCAGCTACCAGAACGGGTTATCCTTAACCTCAGTCCACCTGTTAGCCGATACAGTATCTGCCCGTACTCTGATTTCCAATAGTCAATTGGCGAGCTCTCCCCCGGTGGCAAAGAAATTGGCCTTTGTCCAAATTGTTTTCCCAATTTTTTCATCTCCCGGTACCACTTTCTATGTTTCAGTATCCGAGCAACGTTCAGCGAAAGCACCCACCATCCGTCATTCGAGCGTGCCCTGATCAGCCACGTCTATCGAGGTAATCACTTCTGGTATAACTTCTCATCCACCAGACCTCGCGGAAGGAGAACCAGATGTTTGTATCCCGCTCGTGCACGGTTAACTCCATGAAGTTGAGCAGGCTCCCGTCTACCGGCTCTGATCTCATCGCGGACAAATAGGTAGTAGTCTTTGAACTCGACCGCGAAAATCATAAAATGTGAGAGCGAGCACGTGCGAAATCGTAGTGCGAGGAGGTTGGACAGGGCCTGTCGATGTTCCTTTAGATTGGCTTGTTCGAATTACTCAGTACCCACGGATTCTGCCCTATTTAGGAGCACGTCTAGGACTTCTGCAGCGTGGAAAAAAGTGAGAAGTCGTGCCGTTGATCTAGACTCGGGGAGTGGCTCTTCTAGCCAGAGTTGCATGTGCGAGTCAAAATATTCCGGCAGTTCTGGGATGGGTTGGTGATTGGGTAGCAGAGTGGATGGGGGAGGGTAGTTCCAGTCCTTGGCCAGAATGAGCAGTACCCCTCCTGGCACAACATCGTGACTTAATTTGTTCTTCTGGGATGCTTCCTGAGAAGATTGCCATTGGCAACACCGCTTGCCTATGGCGCTCAACTTGACCAAGCGGATGAACTTCCGGCCGTTGTCGCCGCAGTAGCCAATGCTATATTGATTGACCCCAATGAAACTAGTACGCATATAGCCTGCCGCCTTCTCTAGGACTTTCCCTGCCGCTTCCAGGTCGTTCACCAGAACATAAACGTCATTAACATGGCACCCGTAGGGTTCATGATATACCCCTTCAGTCAGACACAATCCGTGCGCCTCACGAATATTGACACCCGTCCAGACCTTGTACGGAACTCCTGCTTCCTGGAGAAACAAACATGGCTCCAAGCGAGATCCGATATCCAGCCTTGGGTTGGTTCTGACCTGCGCAGGGTCCGGGACGTACGAGGGGAGTCGGCAGGTTCTGGTGACGAACGACCTGACCATTGATGGATTAATCATTTTCACTCGGGAGTTGTTGATGTTTCTAATGGTCTTGTCGTTCTCTAGCGTCAACATTATCTTATAGACATAAACCGACCAATCAGAGGTCTTTCAGTACTGGGTATAGAATATTGGCTTCCTGGTTAAAACGCACCCAGTCACATACGCACTAACCGGTTATGGGATAGCGCGACACATCCCACCAGGCACGTGATATTGAAAAAAAATATCTCGAACAACAGAAACATCAAAAGCAACTCAACCCGGACATTCCCCCTCGCTGTGTGTGAAGCAAACACCTCCAAATCAAAGAAGAAAAGATGTCGATCAAACTCGGGTTCCTCCCTGACCTAACAAGCGCACGACATGTGATCCATCTCTCCGACGATAAGCGACTGGTCCTCTTCCGCTTGCCATCAATCGAGCATACAAAATCCAAGACCAAAGCAGCCAACGAGACTGAGAATGGCTGGTCGTTTTATGCCATGGAGGCGGAGTGTCCGCATGCCGGTGGTCCGATGGAAGACTCGCAGGTCGATATTGAGGATTCCGCGTACATCGTCTCGTGTCCATGGCATGCGTACGATTTTAATGTAGAAACGGGCGAGTCGAGTGTTGGGATTAAGGCGTGTACTTATCCGGTGGAGATTCGTGGGGAGACTATTTTCTTGAAGTACCCAGAGGAGGGTATCAGCTTGAAGCAGCTGGAACCGGTGACGGAGCAGGTCAAGTTTAAGAAGCCAGGGCAGACTCAAGAGAGTGAGCTCTCGGAGGGCCTTCAGAAGAGCCTTGAAATCTCCTCAAGGCCCGTGTTTCTGGATGATAATGCAACTTTTTGTGATTGGGCTGTTCATATTCTGAACACTTCTCATCCGGAGCACAAGATTGAGCTTACGGTGCATTTATTCTCAATCTTCGCCGAGCGGGAGAAGTCGTCTTCACCAATGGAGATCGGCAGAGGCACAAGCACGCCTCCTATCACACCACCACGAGAAAACCTGAATACCGTGAAGGCTACGGAGATGCCGCGTTCGCGAGGTGGTGGAACGCTGAAAAGTCGGATTACCATGCTACACGCCCTAGCCAATATCGAATTATGGGCTATTGACTTGGCCATTGATATTTGCGTGCGGTTCTCGACGTTCCACGCTGAGGATACTGGCAAGGAGCTCCCGCGCGCATTCTTCCATGACTGGCTAAAGGTTGCCAGCGACGAAGCAAAGCACTTTTCATTCCTGCGCACCAGACTCGAGGAAATGGGCTCCTTCTTCGGTGCTCTTCCCGTTCACCATGGTCTATGGGAATCTGCGACAGCGACAGCCCACGATCTCCGCGCTAGAATCTGCATCATCGCGCTAGTGCACGAAGCCCGTGGCCTGGACGTCAACCCTATGACCATCGAGAAATTCCGCAAAGCAGGCGACATTGACAGCGTCGGAGCTTTGGAAGTGATCCACAACGACGAGATTACACATGTCACCACCGGTCACCGATGGTTAACATGGATCTGCAGCCAGGAAAGCACTGATCCGGTTGAAGTTTTCCGTTCGAACGTCAAGGAGCATTTCCGGAGTGGGCTAAAGGGCCCTTTCAATACCGAAGCGCGGATGCAGGCTGGTATGGATGAGCGGTACTATGGGAATTATGGAAAGCAGCCGGCCAATGTTAAGGTGGCTTGAGGATGTCGAGGATTGTGATACAGTATCAGGAACCATCACGAACTAGCCAGCGTCAGGCTTGACGACTATCGACTTGATATCCGCAACCAGTCACATGCAGTAAATTGACGAAACGAGAATGTTTCTTTCACGGCGGGACACGATCAAGCTTGAAAGCGTCGACCAAAAACTCGAACCGCGAAAGTTCATCTTGCGCCAACATGGAGTTCGATTCAAAGAACTGGAGGAACGTATGTCCAATACCGCCTTTTCTCAGGTCAGGTGCGAGACATCCACGCTATAGGATAAAATTCTTTGCCGTCATTCGTTCGAACTGGTCATGGTGGAGCGGGCTCGTTTTCTGCTGGATGGCCGGAGTCAAACAGCGCATGCTGACGAGATGGCGCGTGTCCTCCAAGCTTGTATCGCTCTATTAAACGTGGTGGATACGAGAGGGGCTCTGTGAAATAGAAATAATCCAATTCTCTGGAGCTAGTGACTCTTTAGAAGCGGATAAACTTCAGAATAAACTGCCGGATTTGTGTGGAAGAAAACACGAGATATTTCGTTGTTAACGCTCATTATGGCAAACATAAGACCACTCTCCATCCTTCACCACAGCAAATCATCAATAGAAATACACATCTAATCATACAAGACCATATAACGCCGCAAACCGAACAGAGACCATTATCCACACGATCAGCCCTAAACCATTCCCAGCATTATGCCAGGCATGAGTCGTAATCGTAATCGCAATCGTAAAACAGTTATCGAGTCGTAAAAGGTACCATTCGAAAGAACAAGCAAGTACGAGACCAGCCCATCTCAACCTCATGTCCGGGGTAGAGCCTATCTCCTCTTTATTTTGTTGCGACGACGATGACAGCAACGAGTTATAGCATTTCCAACCCAAACAGTGAGTGTAAGAAGCAGCCATAGGACGAAAGCAGATATGAGAGCTTCACCAATAAGTTCTGTCCATGTTTTCTCGTTGTTGGTGATTTTGTGGATCTCGGTCGCTATGATGATTAGGGGGTCTTTGAAGCCTGGATTCGATCAGAATTGGTCTCGAAGGCACTCTTCCTTTTGGGAAGCAGGAAACGTACTGTAGATAATAGAGAAACTTATAGCAGCAAAAATCCCCAATGGACAAAGGTCGACATGGTAGAGCTTTGGGTTGAAATTCCTCATATCCCAGCCTGTGTGTGGTTGCGGCTTTCTCAGCTTGCGTCGAAACGGTTCTTTCATTTGGATGAAGTTGGGATCATTTGTATCCTTAAGGCAAATTAAATATTAGAAAGAGCAAAGACAGAGAATAAAGGGAAGCAGATTGTGTAGTGGTTTGTGTTGGTTTGGGGAGTTTTGGGGAATTGCCGTGGGAATAGGGCTTCCTATTTGGGGAGGGTTGACATGAGCCTCATTCACATGATCGCGCGCTACGCTTTTTTTCAGGGTCGCTCGACTCTCTTCTCTCAAAATACAGCCAGAGTGCTTTGCTTTATGCTTTGAGCAAGGGCTTGTCGGAACAACAACGCAGTCATTGTCTTTTCTTGACTTGACTGGAGCAGTCCTTCTTTGGATTGATCGAATTACCAGCCCTTAAGCAACACAAGGATTCTTCTTCAAGCTCTGGGCAGACAGTGCCATCAAAAACCACATGGGGTCTGAGATTAATCTCAAAAGAGCGCATTCACTGTCGTGGGTATGTGCTTGAGCCTTAGAAGACAGTGCAGGAATAACACTAACAAATTGTGGCAGTTGCTATAATAGGGCAACTCGCTTTGACGCGATCCATGGATATTACCCGCGCTCCACACGCCATAGAACTGTCCTTCAACGGGATCAAGGGCGCCTCCCTACTGCACGGGATGTGAGTGGGCATTCTTTTCGATCGAGATAGAAACCTTTCGATAAGCGACAGAATAAAGTGTGTTTCAATGGTCTATCCGTGATCTCAGATAAGCAACGGTATGGATGGATGCGAAAGAGAATATGTCGTCGAGAATAAAGTGAGTTGCTTGAACTTTTATATGCCGTTGACATTATGTCATTGGCAGATTTGTTCACCTAGAACTATCTCGCCATCAAAACTGCTTATCAGACTGAAAAAGCCGACAGACAAATTATTTGTTCGCATAATACTGATCTGGACGCTCAGTCTTCCGACGAATCCCAGAATTGAGAACGACGACTGCCTATGTTGTCACGGCACTTGAAGTGAGGTATCTTCGCAAGACTTCTGCTTATCGCACCGATTCATCTCTATCTCTATCTGCTACACAATCGAATTCCATTCCTCATTGCCTTATTCCAATACTGGAAATACTTCGACAACCCCACAAGTCTTGTTCGTCAGGTCCATTGTTCTTATATATGAGCCCCCAGGTCAGCCGCTGACCACGGCTACTCTCTCCTCAATTAGGACTATAAGGTCTACCTCTCGGGGCTAAGGGTCGATCCTGTCTACTCACGCAAGTGTGGCGTTAGCCTGACCAACAACTTGGCGAACTGCAACAAGGGAACCATCTATTGCAAAAATCCACATATCCGCCTTTCCGCTTTCGACGATCGACACGACCTTCTGTTCATTCGCACTGGCTTCTACATGGTCGTGAATTGGATTGCAATGCTGACAGGCGCTTCAAATCAACTTGCACAGAATTTGAGGTCGTCCAGACAAGGGCAAAGCTCTAGCATTGTGACCTTCAAATGGCGCACGGATTGAGGGAAGCTGACAGGTAGCTCATAATGGTCAACCATATTATAGACGCCTATACGAGTGTCCAAGCAGCTCATTGACATCCGTTATAGAAAAACCGAATCGCATCCGTACTAGGGCAGGAGGCAGGGGATGAAAACACGCGGCCTCGGGTGCTTACGTACACCCGTATAATTATGCGCACAACGGCTGCACAACGGCGTTGTGCCCTAACACGCCCTACAAAGTACGCCCTGCGCCCTTTGTACGACAACTGACCCTGCAGATTCTCCGCGTGGGGTGCAGTGGTAGCGTGCCGCTTTACCCGTCTAGATGACAAATGGCTGCGATGGCAGAGACCCTCCCTATGGGGAAAATGGAGGATGCTAAGGACCCGATTGGCCCTGTGGGCCGGTTCGGCAGTGGCTTCGGATATTGTTCCCAAGTCCGATGGGTCCTAGAACCCATAGGAGTCAGCGAAAATTATTCTCTAGTCGCTAAAAGAACGATGGATTCCGTGACGACGTTTCAGCTACTCTTGCGTGCCTTCTGGGGTATCAATATAACCAGCGACGATGGGAACAGGCCTGGCGACAAACGATTTGGAAAGCGTTCAAGTTGACCAGCCGCGAACTATACCTTTCTGGCGCCAGGTATTCGACCAAGGTGCAATTACGCAGGATGTGCTGGATTACACTTATCCCGGGTCAGGAACGGCGGAGGATCCGTTCGTGGTGTCTTGGATCCCCAATGATCCCCGGAACCCAATGTTAATGCCAACGATGAGAAAGGTGGGCATCACAATCGTGGTTTCGACGGCAGCGCTGGCGGTTGCTGTAGCGTCGTCTGCATATTCGGGCGCAATCAACCAGGTAAAAGAAGATCTCAATGTTGGAACAGAGCTCGCCACGCTTGGACTATCGCTTTTCGTTATCGGATTTGCCCTAGGACCGTTATTCTGGGCTCCGCTGAGCGAGTTCATCGGTCGCCAAACGCCATTCATCTTCTCACTGGGTTTGATGACGGCCTTCCTTGCTGGCTGCGCCGGGGCCGAGAATATACAAACCCTGGTTATCCTACGATTCCTGGCCGGCTGTGCCGGGTCAGCACCCTTCACCAACTCCGGCGGCGTCATCAGCGACATGTTCCAAGCAGAACAACGAGGCCTGGCACTATGTCTATTCGCAGCCGCACCTTTTATGGGACCCGTCCTCGGACCCATCATCGGCGGCTTCCTAGGCATGAACGCGGGCTGGAAATGGGTCGAAGGACTCCTCGCCGCGTTCTCCGGCGTCCTCTGGATAACAATGACCCTCCTCGTCCCAGAAACCTACGCCCCGGTCCTCCTCCGCCAACGCGCAAAACGCCTCTCAACCCTCACCGGCAAAGTCTACCGCACGAAACTAGACATCGAGCAAGAAGGCGGCGTCTCCCTAAAACGCATGTTCGCCAAAGCCCTCCTCAGACCCTGGGTCCTGCTCTTCCGCGAACCAATCGTCCTCCTCCTCTCCATCTACATCGCCATCATCTACGGCGCCCTGTTCATGATGTTCGCCGCTTTCCCGATCGTCTACCAACAAGGCCGCGGCTGGAACCAGGGTATCGGCGGCCTAGCCTTCCTAGGAATCATGGTAGGCATGGTCTTCGCAACACTCTACTCCATCCCAGACAACAAGCGATACCTCAAAGTATCCAAATTCTTCGGCGGCTTCGCACCGCCCGAGTCCCGCCTCCCACCCGTAATGTTAGCCGCAGTCTGCATCCCCATCGGCCTGTTCTGGTTTGCATGGACAAACTCTCCCTCCATCCACTGGATGGCCAGTATCGCCGGCTGCGTGCCGTTCGGCTTCGGTGTTGTACTCATCTACCTGGGCGTGCTAAGCTACCTAATCGACTCATACACTGTCTTCGCTGCATCAGCGCTCGCCGCGAACGCAGTGGCACGGTCTATGTTCGGTGGTATTTTCCCGCTGTTCACAACGTATATGTATGAGGGGTTGGGGATTCATTGGGCGTCGTCGATTCCGGCGTTCTTGACGCTAGCGTGTATGCCGTTTCCGTTTGTTTTTTATAAGTATGGGGAGAGGATTCGGAGACGTTGTAAGTATGCTGCGGAGTCGCAGATGTTTATGCAGCAGTTGCACGCTGCTGCTAGGGATGACTAGTGTGCATTGTTTTGTATAGCGTGCATAGCGATGGTGTCGTCTTTTAGACATATTAGCGAGGACATGTTTATAAAAGTTCTTAATCTCTAATATCATTTTTGCGTGTTTTTGTACAGTAAAATCAAGCTGGTAACAGACGGTAATTCATTGAACCATATCTTTTCTTATACACGAAAAGAAGATAGATAAATGGTACAGCAGTCAGTAGTATATGGTACAGTGGTTAGAGAAAAAAAAAAAAAAAAAACACGAAACCCAAACATCCCTATATGACAAATTCCCAATAGATTCTTCATTCATACTCGTACTCTTTTCACCGTTGGTTCTGAGAGAACGAAGCACGAGCTTTCTCTCGTTGCCGCTCAAGAGCCTTCATATACTCTGCCCGCTTAGCATGGTTACGTTCCTCCCGCTTCCACTCCTCTTCCTCCCTCCTTCTCCGCTCGTAGTCAGCGGCCAGTTTCTGATCCTTTTCACTAAGGCGCGGCGGTTCAGCGACAGAACCGTCTGCGTTCTTCGTGGGACCGGAGCCGCGGAATTCGTTGATCTTTTCGGTTGCTTCGCGCTGGATGTTGTTTTTGTTCTCCTTGAAGGAGTTGACCATACGGTCGATGAAGCTGATGTTGGCTTCTTGGGAGGCGGCGCTTTCCTTCTGGGCCTCGACGAGCTTGGCCTGTTGGGCCTTCATGAGGTCCTGGAGCATGCGGAGGTCGTTGTTTCGGGCTTCTGCGGCTGCAGGGTCAACCATCTTCTTGGGGATGGCCATGCCTGCGAATTTCCTGAAGCTTTCGTTTTGGACGAGGTACGATTGGCCCAGGGCGAATAGACCCGTCGAGACGAAGTAGAGTTGGAGGGCGCTGGGGAAGAAGGCCATGAAAGCGAAACTGATAGCAGGAAGGCCGTAAAGGAATGCCTTTCCAAAAGATGAGTTCAACATGTCATTCATACCGGCCTCTCCACCTTTCTGTATTCATGTCAGCGACCAATCCGTCGTATTTAGAGATATCGATAGCAGAACCTACCCGGAGAGTAAGATGCATAAATGTTGCTGAAAGAGCCGGGAGAATAAAGACCGGATCAGCAACAGTAAGGTCCTTCAACCACCCCGCCGCCTCCACAGCCAATCCCGGGACAGGAAGCGAAGTCATGCCATTGACAACTCGATAGCATCCAAAACCCAGGGGAACCTGGAGGAAAGGAATAAACGACTTGATTGGCTTAATCCCGTGGTCACTCTGCAACTTGCTCATCTCTGCCCGGATCCTGGTTGCTTCCACCATGTTCCCTGCCGTATTGGTCTGAAGCATTTTCGTGCGGAGAGGGTTGATGATGTGCTTAATGTTCTGCATCCTGGCAGCCGTGTCGGACGCACCTAGCATGGGGTAAAGCAATGCCAGACGGACCAAGAGACCCGTTCCCACGATACTCGCCCACCACGGTAGACCTGACCAGATGTGAATATGCTCGATAACCCATTCGATCATCGATGATGGACCCCAGCCGTAATCTAACCCAAGCTGCTTCAGGTATCCCGTGTGTTCGGGGATTGCGTCGATGTCCGATAGCGATAAGCCGGAGATGTCACCAGCTTCCGTTTGAGCGGCCTGATCGGCGGCACCTTCGCTGGCAGTCGTGCCAGAAGCAACGGACGCGGTTGACGAGGTCGAGTTGAAACGAGCGGCCATTATCGATCCAGGAACGGCGGAAGGTGTAGCTCTCCGTGTGAGACCACCTGCGAGTGTCTGATTGATTCGTCCATATCCACCATAAGTGCTCTGCATTCGAAATGTCGATATCTGTAAGAAACAAGCGATTCTCTATCGTTAGTCCCTCCCAATTCCTCATGTCAGAGAATCAATTCCCGGGGACTAACCGAACGACTAGAGCGTGGGACAGTCAATCGCTGCCGGGCAATGGCAGGCATTGCGCCACGCCCTTTTAAACCGGCGCCTCCCAGCATTATAACAATTTGACGGCGCACAAACCGGAACGAAAGACAACAGCCGGGATACTTTTCGGAGTGGAGTGGAAACGGGCAGGCGGGCAACCAACTGAATGCTTCCCGCCGTCTTTTTTTTCGAGTGTTTTCTGCCGGGCGGACAGTGGGCTGTACGGGGACCGATGAGCACCATGGCGCATTATAAACAATGCATTGTTACTATTCTACTTGAAGATACTGAGGATAGTGTGAATGTTTATGACTTGTATTTGCAATGTGCGGTTGTAAGATCACAACGGTATGCCAACTCAAATTCAAAAGGGTGTTTCGCCAAACGCCGTCTGGGGTTTTGGAACCTATGTACACAAAAGACAAAGTCCACGCGCACTAGCGCATGGTCTTAGGGATGGGGAAACGGGCAGAGGTTGAAAAAGCTCCGGGGTGTTTAATCATGCAGTGCTGGGCAAGCGATGCGAAATTGGGGAAGGGGTTCAGAGGGAAGAGGGGCAAAGGGACGGTGCCACTGCATATATCTGTTTATTCCAAGGATGTGGTGTCCCTCAAACCCCTTCTCGAGGAAACGTCGCGGACTTCAATTCCAGGGCCCACGGCTCGTCTGTATGTTGGGAAGACCTGCGCGGAGTCATTACATTAGCATCCTGCAACGATCAGGGATTTTGGCGATGACAGTACCTTGGTGTTGGCCCAGCCAAGTCTGAAAGCAGCCTCATGCGCAAACAGTTCTCCAAATCCCAGCATCAATCCGTTCACAAAGGGAAGCACCAGGTTGATTGCGGCGCCTCGCAGGACACTCCAGAATGTTGGGGGCTTGTAAAGGACCACAGGCGAGGTGGACGTCGAGTGAACAGACGATACCAGCTCGTTTGGCGCAGAGTAGTTTTCCGAGTCCGATGGGATGGTCAGGCCGGACTCGTAGAGCTCCTTGGGGCCGGCGTGGGCGTCGGATGCCATGATGCGGGGGGGATCGACCAGGGGAAACGAGACGGATGAGTCGAGGTGAGGAGTGTTGGAAATTTTGAATATGATGCTGTACTTATCAAGATCTCCGGATATCAGATCGATGGCTTAATGTAGAACTGAGGAAAGGGTGTCTGGCCGTGGAGGTCGTTCAACGTCGTCGTTGGTTAGTGTTGATCTGCGGCGCTGTATGGCGTTATGTAAGCAGGTGTTGTTCCTGGCAAATTCGATAACAACCAAAGCTGTCAATTCTGCTAGCAATCTGTCAAGGAGTAGTCTAATTAATTGATTGTCGAATATAAATCCACATATCTTCTAGTTGTCGTCAATAGACTGTATTTGGACGGATAGACACCCCAGGCAACCCGGAAAATAGTCCCACCGGATGACCAATCAGGCAGCATGACGTACAGGCAGGCAGCTGCAGCAAATAGAACAAACAGCTTTCACCTTCTCTACATTACCAACTTCGGCTTGATTTGCCCTTACTTTTTCTACAGGATAGAAGCGTGCTATATCAGCATTGAGAAACTACAACCAGCTAGACTTGCGATACCCAGACGTCAACATGGAGAACAACCCCGCAGATCACGATGAGGCCGTTTCGCAGTTCTGTTCGCTGACCGGTCTTCAGCCCTCCGAGGTAAGCTTCGCTCTAAGGATACCGTGCGATTAACACAGCTAACTCTGGTCGCTTTAGGCCCAGGAATACCTTGCAGCTAATGGGTGGGATATCGAGGCGGCAGTGACCGAGTACTTTGCGGAACAAGACGAGGCCTTGCAGGACGCAAATACAGGTGGACAGCATCTTGGTGCCGGAGAGGGATCTGCAGGTCCGTCAGCTTCGTCGTCGTCGGGTACACCTCAGCAGTCATCTTCAGGTGGACACAGCCGTCCCCCAAAGAAGTTCGCTACTATGCGTGACTTTGCGTCTGGGGGTGGTGATTCTTCCGATGATGACGAGAACCCCAACCAGCCTTTCTTTGCGGGTGGTGAGAAGTCCGGGTTGGCTGTGCAGAATCCCGATGATCTCAAGAAGAAGATTATTGAAAAGGCCAGCAAGTAAGCTTTGCTATAGCTCATATAATTATTTGCAGCAGCTGACTCGAACAGAACCCAACTCCCATCCTCTGACGACCCCCAACCCCGAAGAAACCACTTCACCGGTACCGCCCGTACTCTGGGTGGTGATGATGCTCCCAGTCAAGTGATCGAAGCTCCCAGTGCCCCTGCTGCTCCTCAGTTGCCACAACGAGTTCAGCGGACCCTCCACTTCTGGTCAGATGGTTTCTCGGTTGACGATGGAGACTTGTACCGCTCGGACGATGCACGGAACGCAGAGATTCTCGACGGAATTCGACAAGGACGCGCTCCCCTTTCGATAATGAACGTGCAGCGAGGCCAGGAGGTGGATGTGGAGATCCAACAGCATGAGGAGAAATATGTGAAACCCAAGCCCAAGTACCAGCCGTTCGCCGGACAGGGATTCCGACTCGGGAGCCCAACACCTGGCGTCGCCGCAGCACCTTCTGCTCCTGCTGCTCCTGCTGCTGCTGCTGCTGCTGCGCCTAGCCAGGCCACCTCCGAGCCCGCGAAGCCTAATGTGGATGAGTCACAACCTACTGTTACTCTGCAAATCAGACTTGGTGACGGAACACGCCTTACGTCCCGATTCAACACCACTCACACTATTGACGATGTCTACCAGTTTGTCGGAGCGGCCAGCCCTATCAGCCAGTCGCGTCCGTGGGTATTGATGACTACATTCCCTAGCAATGAACTTACCGATAAGAGTGCTGTGCTTGGCGACTTGGCTGAGTTCAAGAGAGGTGGTGTGGTGGTGCAGAAGTGGCAGTAAACATCTTACGGGGATACTTTGTTTAACGAATAAAATATGGCGCTTAGCTACAAACGTAATAGCACAAGCAGACATTGCTATACGATAACTAGATAAAAATGAATAACGAGTCTTGAACTATGCTCTTCATAAAACTAGGATACCGCATCGGGAAAGATTGAAGATTGATAAGCAACGGAATGACGCAGAACCGCAACGACCATGAATTCTTATCTCAATCTCAACTCTCCAAAACACATACAATCAACAATTCATATAGAAAATGCCTCTAAATGGAGTTAAGAATGTTGTCCTGGTGAGTCCCGACCATCCTCTACACAACACGCCCTGCAAAAAAGAGAAGAAAAAAAAAAAGCCCCTCATTTCTTATCGATAACATTCTGCCAAACCTGAATCGCATCGCAATTCGACTCCCTCTCCTCCCAATCCCCAAAAAACCAGAATAAACACTAACAATGACTATGAAAAGGTCCTCTCAGGAAAAGGCGGCGTCGGCAAATCCTCCGTAACCCTGCAACTCGCCCTCGCTCTCTCCCTCCAAGGCAAATCCGTCGGCATCCTCGACATCGACTTGACCGGGCCTTCAATCCCGAGATTAGTCGGGCTCGAAGGCGCGAAGATCACGCAAGCACCAGGTGGTTGGTTACCGGTGACTGTTCATGATGCTGTCGACAACACTACCTTAACAACCAGCGATAACTCTGCGCAAGGACAAGAGGCGCAGGTGCAAGAAGGAAATGGAAGTGGAAGTGAAAGCAAACGAGGCTCCCTCCGCTGCATGTCCCTAGGCTTCCTCCTGCGCGACCGCGGTGACGCCGTAATCTGGCGCGGCCCCAAGAAAACAGCCATGATCCGGCAATTCCTCGCCGACGTGCACTGGGGCGAAACAGACTACCTCCTCGTCGACACACCACCCGGCACAAGCGACGAGCACATCGCGCTAGCCGAACAACTTCTCACGCTCTCCACGACAGATCCCCGTCTTGCGGCTGTAAATCCGTCACTTCCAAGGCTTGCTGGTGCGGTGCTGGTTACCACGCCGCAGGGGATTGCGACGTCGGATGTGAGAAAGGAGGTGAATTTCTGTGTGAAGACGCAGATTCCGACGCTGGGGGTTATTGAAAATATGTCTGGTTATGCGTGTCCGTGTTGTGGGGAGGTGAGTAATTTGTTTTCGAGTGGGGGTGGGCAGGTTATGGCGCAGGAGATGGGTGTGAGGTTTCTGGGGATTGTGCCGGTAGATGTTAAGTTTGGGGTGTTGATTGAGGGGGATGCTGTGGATGGTGATAGTGATGAAGGGGGTGAACGGGAGAAGAAGGAGGTTGAACAAAAGGAACCGGACAGCCGGCCGCTTGTTGAGAGGTACAAGACGGAGTGTTACTCATATGCGAGGTTTGAGGAGTTTGCGAAAACGTTAATATCTGGGATTGAGGCTACGGCGTGATGGTCTAAAAGTTCTTATGATTCATGATAGCATTGAATATAGTCGCATGTTCATCATCGTCAGTCATTAGATATCCTAGGCCCTAGTCCGCAGACAGATCACGATGCAGCATCGCGCGCAGCTGCACCTCCGCGGACTGTCGACAAGTCTGCGCCTGTCCATACCGTGCAATCCGACTAAAAAACGACTGCAGCCCTCCCATCACAAACAACGATGACCCAGCACCATCATCCCCAGCCCCAGACTCCAACACCTGATTCGCCTGCGCATCAAGAAGAACCTCCGACACAACAGCCGGCGTAACAACCCTATGCTCAACATCCTCCCCCAACAAACCCCTCCCACAAACTCCATCCCCCTCCGCAAACTCCCTCGTAACCGGCCCCGGCCCCGACCCCAGCCCCCTAACCCCACCATCCAACTCAAACCCCAAATTCATCCCCGCTATCGACCTCGGCGTATCCGGCTCCGCTAACACAGATGACCCATCCCCCGCCACCGAGAACGGCGCAAAACTCATATAACACGAGTCCCCACCACCAACATCACCAGTCCCAGTCCCATCATGCTGACGCTCCTGCTCAGAACTCGCCTCGTCGACTGGTAAGAGGTATCCTGGTGGGACGCGGATTTCGCCTAGCGGGGCTATGTGACTTTCGTATTCGTTTGCGAGACTTAGTTTACTGCGGCCGTAGATTTCGGCGATGGTGGTTAGTGTCGGTTGGATGGTGGGGTTTATGGAGGTGAGGATGGATTCGATGCTGAAGGAGTCTGGTGGAGGGAGGGTTGGGCCGGTGGTTTTGTTTTGGGGGGTGGATGAGGGGTTGGGGTTGCTTAGGAATGGGATGGATAGGCGGCCGGGGGATGTGGTGGTGGGGTGATTTCCAGTGTCTGCGGGTTTGTTGTTGTTGTTGTTGTTGATGTTCTCCCCCGTGTTACCGGAGTATGTTCGTACGAGGACTGGTTGGGATACTGGTCTTTGGGACTGAGGGGTCCCAGGTGGATTATTTCTCGTAGTGCTGACTGTCTGTCGACGGGTGCGCGACCAGGGCTTTGGCTGGTAACTGTTCATTTGGCGAAGTGCCATGGTGCGATATGCGCGAGTGGATTCATCGAGGGCCGGCTGGTGACGAGAGTTTGATGGGCCTGCTGTTGCTGTGATTGGGGATGGGTGTGGGGGGGAGAGTTGCGACCAGCGGTGGTGGGAGAAGGAGGATTGCTGTCTTCTTTCTCGGTGGTTTTGCATTTCGGTGTATAGGTTTAGATCTGACCATTTGACAAGCAGGTCTTGTATACAAAATGTCTGAAACAAGACGATGCATCAACTGGCGGGCGTATCACATGATTTCCAACTGTCAGGCTAACTAGATATAGTTAGTAGATACATGCGCATCATGATTGGCCGATGCTATATACATACAAGAACATTCCCAAAACGGAATCCATGAAGCTATTCACAAGCGGACAACCCACAGCTACCACAAAATAACAGGCTTAATCGTCTGCCCGGACTGCATATCCCCAATAGCCCTCTCAAACTCCTCAGCCGGATAAAACTTGACAATCTTTTCCAACGGCAAACTCCCATCCTTCACCCACTGAATCATCCTCGGGACGTACTCCTGCGGATTCACATCCCCCTCGATAACACCCATGAACTGCTTTCCGGAGACCATGAATTCATGAATGGGGATTGACAATGTTGCGCCCTCAGGAGCAGTCCCGACTTGCATGATCTTCCCCTTGAACCCAGTCATTCGTGTTCCCTCCGCGATTAACGCGGGTACACCCGTTGTGTCTAGCGTAATGTTCGCGCCCAGGCCCCTGGTCATTCCCCGCACTGCCTCTGTCACAGCAGCGAGATTATCCAGTCCGTTTACTTTGACGACATCAGTGGCACCAAGTTCCTTAGCTAGTTCAAGTCGCGACTCGTGTCGGTCGATTCCGATAATCTGCTTACAGCCTGCGACCTTGGCGCCCATGACTGCGCTTAGCCCGACACCACCCAGACCAAGTACCACGACCCGGTCTTTGGGTGTAGCATTACTGGCATTGATAATAGCTCCAGTCCCAGTTTGAATGCCACAGCCTAGTGGCGAAAGCAACTGCAGTTCCTCACGTGTGTGCACTGTATCCGAGACATTGATAACAGAGTCCTCCCGGACAATCGACCAACTAGAAAAACTCGATTGCCCGAAGAATTTCCCGTAGATATCATACCCATCTGCCTCATTGGATTGCTCTTTCTTAAACGCGTAGTTCTCAGGAACAACTTCAAAATTAATCGCGTTAAAATTGAAGCAATGCGCCGGATGTCCCCGATGACACGGCTCACAGCTCTTACATGCCGAAAAGGACAAAATAACAGTATCACCGGGCTTAGCTCCTTGTGTCCCGGGTCCGACGTCTCGAACATACCCGGCCCCTGTGCTTTATTAGCTTTTATCCCGAGGACGCTGGGGGTGGGGGGAAATACCTTCATGCCCCATAATCCGGGGATAATGAACCCCAAACCCACTCTCTGCGCCTGCTAAATGCAGATCCGTCTGGCATATTCCCGACGCGATGATTTCGACGAGTAATTCTTGTTGTTGGAGGGGGCGGAGAGTGAGGTTTTGTAGTTTCCATCCGCCGGTGTTGTAGGGGCCGTAAGAGACTAGGCCGCGTTTTGTGGTTGTAGTAGCGGTATCGGGCATTTTGATTTTTACGTTGGGAAATCGGGAATAAAGAGGATGGGGTTCGTTAAGTTTGTTTGCTGCTCGGTATACAAGATATATATGTACGTAGTGGTGGAGTAGGCATGGTGGAGTTCCGATATATCCATCCCACCTCCACTCCGATTGATAGCCGAGATGTGGATTTCGATCCCACATTATTTGCATCATGGGGAAGTGGACAATGCTTGGTCTGTTCTTTTGTCGAAATCAAAGCATGAATGTATACATCAATAGGTCAGGTTTTATCATAATGACCACCACAATATTGCACCACAATATTGCGCACCAGGGAAAAAACCTCCGGATTTCTACTACTAATCCAAAATAAGCCCCTACAATCAAAATGCCTTTCGTAAGCTCAAAAAACAAGCCCAAGAAGTTCAAAGGTGATCGCAAGTATAGAATCGCACTAGATAACCTCTAATACCACAAATCTAGGATTCATCATCGCTATGACCAAAGACCTGGGAATCTTGCTACTCCATCGCCAAAATTGTCTCGTAAAAATACAGAAACAGCTAGCAACGCAGCAACACGATCGAAAAAAGCGCGATGATAATTGGCAGGACTGCGAGACCATCTCATCCAGAACAGCAGACGATATCATCAATAACAATGCTCTGTTAGTCAAGGTAAACGACGAACTCGAGAAGGTGCACGGGGAGTACTGGGAACATCAGCTTCGTCACAACAAGCTTATAACCACTCATCCGACTAATAAAATTATCGTGAATGAGGTTATGATTCCCCGACTGCACCGAGACCGACACAACCGGCCGTATATCTGGGGACATGATCAGAAAGAATGTGCTGCCCGGGGAGGATGTTGTGGACGGAACTGTGGTTGCTATGAGAAGGCGTTGGATTGGTACCTTGCACCGGTTGAGGAACCTGAGAGAGAACAGAGGAAGTTTATGGGAGATTTTCGGACACTATTGTTGAGTGTGCTTGCTGTATTGAGTTCAGGAAGTGTTATCGGCCACATCCACGGCTTCCTCATACAGCATTCTAGAATGAAATGAGAGACTGTGCTCTCTTTTCTTGTTGTGAACTTCACTTGCTGTGGCCATTCATGTCTTGTTTGTATTCTTGAAGAGAAGTCATCCGTTGAGCTGTGGTTTAGCAGTTAGAAAATACATATAGCTGGAAAACTTGAGCCCATCCCAGTTGTTTGCTGCAGTCAGCAGTCTTGGATATAAACACACCACTGCTTGCAATATCACAGATGGCGATAGATGTGGTGTAAAGTACATACTGGTGGTCTTGGCATGCAGTTGGGTTGAAACCTCAATGGCCCTCATCACCTTTTTTCATCATCTCTCAGTAAGTACCCAGCTATCTTTGCTTGAAACATATCAAATAATAATCGCCCTATAGGCAGGTAAGAGAGTTTACCCCCAAAAAAAAGGGTCATTCTTCATAAATTTTTGTTAGCAATCTTCAGAAAAGTCCTGACTATGTGGGCCTATATTCAGAGCTTTTGGGGAAATCGTCAAGAAAACCATCAAGAACCCGTTCCTCCATCAGTCAAAATTGCGGCCGCCCGATTCCCCGCCGATGGGTTAACCCCCCACTTGGTATCTCTCCAGACAACTTCTCACGGCATCCAGGATCAGCCGAGATTCTCACTTGACAGCCATGTACCAGACCTGCGAACGTTTTGAAACATCCCTGAGCCGTGGGTTCATGCAGATAGGGTCAGGTTAGAGGCCACGAAAGATGCAAGTCTGAATTGCAAAGGTGTTTACATGGACTTCTTCACTTCCACCATGGATGAATTGCCGGAAAACTCGAATTTTCCTGAACATATTCTTGGTAATAGATTCCTCCATGGAGATGTTTTCATTGTCAAGCTGCAACCCCGTGAGTATGGGGTGAATGGCTGGGCGGAGTATGATGATGTGCCTGCAGAGTTTCTCAACTTGCCTTCAATGAGAGGGAGAAGGACGGCATATTACTATCCTTAAGATTGGGACTTGTAATTATTGGCAAGCCTGGGTTGCTTGTATTCTGATTTGCGTTGTCTACTATAAGGCAGCTGTACGGCCAGTATTATGTGACTAGGGTTTGAAAAGACATTCGCGGCAATATCGGTCACCGCTGTATCCGTACTAAGCCCACAATACTACTCCGTTTAATGCTCTCCGCCGATTGACCGCCCCTGTAGCATCACGTGCTTCCCCACATTACCCCACATAATCCCCGGTATTCGGCTTTCCCAAAGCAGTATCGAGATCTCCCACTCCACAGCCTCCCACAACCATATCCCAACCCACTACATCCCTCAATTGCAACTGAAATGCAGTCGAATTCGATCTATCAATGTCCAATTTGCCCAAAACACTACAAGCGTCGCGAACACCTGAAACGCCACCGTAGTTCTCATACTTCCGAACGCCCCCACCGATGTCCGCAGTGCGACGGGCGGTTTCAGCGGGCGGACGTCTTGCGACGACACCTGCAGACGTGTCTGGAGAGGAGGGGATCGCGGGGGGTGGCTACTCGTCGAAGGGCGTGCGATCGCTACGTGCGACAGAAAAAGGCATGCGACTTGCAACAGCCGTGTGATCGGTGCGCGCAGCAGATGGTCGAGTGTTGTTATTCTGCTGGCCTCGATGTCGCAGCTTCAGAGGAGAGGAATACGATAACAAGTCCGGGGAATGCAGAACTAGCACAAGCACCGCCAGCTCCAGAAACGACGCTGGCGATGGCGTTTCGCTGGTCGGACTTTGATGCGGACAATCTGGTGGCGAATTCTGGTGACCATGATGCTATGGCCCTGAGTGATCCGAATGTGCTGGACCATGCCAGCCCTAGCTGGCAGGATTTGATTGCAATGGCATCGGAGGGTCCGCCGGGACCTGATAATATGCACACTTCGTTTCAATTTCTCGACAAGATGACTAGCAACACGGGGCTGGCGTATAGCTTTGACTGCGGGACACCAGAGGAACGGGCACAGGTGCTATCTAGCCTGGAAAGCGAGGTGGAAAGTGAATATGGAGCATCATCATCACCAGAGACGATGGACACGCCGGGATCGCCGTTGGTCGATGGATTATCGCTGAATTGGTTTAATGACCCCCTATCGCTCAAGACTCATCAGATCTTACACCTCATCAAGGATGTGGTCATGGTGAAGCCGCGGAATAGTTCTGTCACGCTGGACTGGTCACCGGGCTTACAGCAGTCGTGTCTACGGTTCTTCTCGCCGGTGAATCTGCGCAAATATCTGGGATTATATTGGGCGGTCTGGCATCCAAATGTCAATTTCGTCCATCGACCTAGTTTTGGTCCTACGTCAGCCAAACCAACCGTTCTGGCAGCTATGACCTTACTTGGTAGGTTTATTCTCTTTTCTGAATGTACACTTAGCTAACTGAACAGGTGCATGCATGTCACCCGAAACGTCTGATCACGAAGAGGCCCGGATGTGGTTCAATTGCGTCGAAGAGCTGGTCTTTACCGACGAAGACTTTAATAGTGATTTCACTTCTGCGACATCCTGTCCTACTCTACATCGGAACATCGTCCAGGCGCTGCAGGCAGCTTATATGGTGTGCTTATACCAGAACTGGGAGGGTAGCGATGCGAGTAAGCGGCGGATTCGACGTTATCGCTTCGCTAGTCTTGTTTCTGTAAGTCTCCCAACAGTGTACTTGTCTAAAATATATGCTAATTGACAGACTGCTCGAGACATCGACTTAACGACTGTCAAACACGCCAAATACAGCGAACATCCTCGATACCAATTCGAATGGAAGGATTTCGCCACTCGAGAAGAGCTAATCCGTGTCTTAATCTGGATCTTCCTCCTTGACACAGCATTCGTCCTCTTCAACAATCTACCCCCTCGCATGGTGATTAAAGAAATGAAAATCCACATGGCCGTGCCGGACGCATGCTTCCAAGCATCAACTGCAGACGACTGCCACGAACAGATCAAACGACTCCTCCCCACAAACAGCCAATACTGGAAGATATCCTTCTGCAACGCATTCAAAAGTCTCTTCCAGGAGAACCTGGCAATGAATCTCCGCTACGACCTAGCCGCCCTAGGCCCACTAAACCTCTTCGCCCTAACCTCAGCCATCCACTCCCAAATCTTCCAATACCGCAGCAACTCCTGGGGCACCGTCCAACTCCTCGCCCCAATCCGCAACGCCTTAGACAACTGGCGCGCAATCTGGGAACTCTCCGTGACATCCCTCCCCCCCAAACTCTCCCCACACGTCGACCGCGCTGACGACGACGACGACGACGACGACGACGACGACGGCTACTACAAAGCCCAGATAATCATACACCAACCCGAACGCATGTGGCGACGAGTAGGATTCTGCAGATACTGCCCAGAATACTGGTTACTGGCAAATTTGATGGTCAGTCAGCTTACGGAGTTGTGTGTGTCGGGGTCGCAGCCGAGGAATGAGTTAGAGAGGTTAGACGATGAGCCGCTAGATTCGATTTTGAAGAAGTATGATGAGACGAGTATGCAGCAGGCGAATGATTTGATTTTGAGTTTTCAGCGGTGGCAGGTTTTTAGTTGTTAGTTGCTTTTGTTATATACGAGTTTACGAATTAACACTACTTTATGCATCGTTTTTTACGAAGTGCATGCTTTTATTAGGTTAACCTGCTAAAAAGGCGTTATGATTTTCGTCCACCCTCCCGAATGTCAGGAAAATCGACAATATGAGTCCTGATATACCCTTCAATGGCAATTGGTCGCAGAGAAAATTCCATCCAGATAGCAAAAAGAAAAGAAATGCAATTTTTTTACGAATAGGCGTGCCCATATCTGTTATCCGTAACTATTCGTCCGATGTTTTCTCCGGAGCGACGGAGAGGGCCTAATGCAGTCACATAATTAGTGAATTGAGTGCACACTGCAATCTAATACGGCTTTTGTGCTTTCGTTGGGCTTGACTTATTTGCGCACATCACGCAACCGATTCTTTTGTTCACCTTACTCGCCGTCTGTGCTCAGCGACAGTGAGGTCTGCACTAACGACCGCTCCTTTGAACGTCGTTATCCAGCCCTGAAGTATGTTCGTGGTGGTCATCGCAACGAAGACGGAGCTGCTGTCGGGGTAAAAGCGTGACTAACGAGGGTAGACGCACTCTTAGTATGGTTCTATTCAGGCTCGTGGTCTAACAGATCCCCTAAATCGTGGCCAAGGATCCGTACGTCGAATCCAGTGCATGCGCTGCGCGAGCTGGTGCCAGATGGCTTCCGCTCATTACTGAATTGATCCGTCAATTGCTAACGTATTCATTGTATCCAGATACAAGTGACTCGATCAGCATCGCGCCCCTCCTCCCAGCCACTATCGCCCCCACGACGCTCGTGAAGGACCACCAACCGCCCGAACCTTGCTTGCATCATCCTCCCCCCTCCGTGCGTTCCGTCGAATTCACCAACCAGACCCCTGACCTGGATAGACCCTGTGGATCTACCAGCCCCGGAATGGCAAATGGCCGACGAGGCGATACCTTGGTTCGTACTCTTGCGCTCCGCGATCCGAAGTTCGGTGCTCTAGTTTGGGTACAAGGTCCAGGAAGTGCAGACTATTTTCGAGAAATTCAATAAAACGAGTTACAAGTTCCAACCGCAGCCAATTTAGAAATTCCGGTATGTTCATTGGCGAGAATATATGTTGATCCCTTTATTCCTGAAGCCTTGTTCTCTGTGATATAATTGATCTACCCTAAAGTCTGGCAAGACGTGCTGACTAGAAAGCTTCAGGTTCCTGCGTACCGAAAGGCCTTGATGTCCCGTTTGAGATTATGGCCGAAATAGCAGTCGTTAATTTCTCTTTTGAGCATGAGAGAGGCATTGTCCTGAAAGGCTTCAGGACCGTGTTGGTCGCAACTGGGAAGTCGGTCAATACATCTTCAATTGCCATTCAATGGCAATTTGTTCATTGGAAATCCAAAGAAATCGATCTCCTGGATTACGTTTGGGATTCCCGATATCACATCTGGGATGTAGGCGAGGAGCCTGGACCTATGCTTAAGACTGTTGATCAAGCTCGCACATTTATCGGTTAATTCATGATCCATGGCAGTAGAGAAGGCATTTCATCGACTGGCTTCTCATGAAGCAGACCGCAAATCCTGCAATTTTCGCAGAAATTTTGGAATTAGCTTCCTACACCCCATACTGGTGAACATTATTTTTCTCGCAACGTCAACCGCATTCTTATATTCCTCGGGAATCGTACCCATAACGAAGAGCGTCGGCTTTACAGAGCTCCTTGGGCTGTTCTAACCTCTCTCACTCTCTCGCAATGAAGCATTGACCTAAACTGAGTTGTACACGTAGATTCATAGTCTCCATCCTTTCTGTATGCTGTCTCACGTTCCATTCGCAATCCTAATTTATTTATATGTCACACTATTTCCCTGCTTCACTTTCAGTAGTTAGTTTAGTATGATTTACGAATGAACCCGACCATGCACAGATTGCCTTTACGAAGTACATACCGGATTCTCTACAATCTGGACGTAATGAAATGAATGGACGGCGGCGAGTAATGCTCTACGCGTAGATCGCCGAAATAGGATCACCTAGGTTATTGGTACGTATCCCACCTCCACATCCGACACTCAAGCTCTGCCCACATAGCTCCGACATACAACGATCTCCACCAATAACCGACCATATTATACAGACAACTGTACGGATCACCATGTACTTTTTAACTTGCAGAGGAGAGAGATGTATACATATAAAAAGGCCCCCAATTACCCCGGCATGGCATGAACTCTTGTTCATCAATTTGATCTCTATCAACTCTAGTATACAGAATGTTACCCCCGATTACACTCTTCTGCCTCGCGGTAGGCACCTTGTTTCTCTTCTCTCGGTTGCTGTCTGTTGGACGACGACCGAAGAATTATCCCCCTGGGCCTCCTACACTGCCGATCATTGGGAATATTCATCAGGTACCCCCTCTTATCCTCTTTATCTTTCGAAGAATGACTGACAGTACTAGATGCCCACCCACGATGCCCATTTACAATTCGAGAAATGGGCTCGCGAATATGGTCCTATCTACAGTTTGATGCTAGGCACGAAGTGTCTCATTGTGATCTCAAGCGATGAAGCCGTCAAGGAACTCCTCGACCGCCGGAGTAGAATCTACTCCCATCGCCAGGACATGTATATTGGACAGACGCTGTGCAGTGGTGGACTTCGTGTTCTCATGATGGTAGCTCTCCCCCTCCCATCCACCTGAACCAGACCAAATACTAATAGAAATGAACAGGGCTACGGCCCAACCTGGCGCATGTGCCGCAAAATGATCCACGGCCTCCTCAATGTCGTAGCCTCCAAATCCTACCTCCCCTACCAAGTGCTCGAAAACAAGCAAATGCTGTACCAGTTCCTTACCGAGCCCAACGACTTCCTAAAGCACATCCGCCGGTACTCCAACGCGCTAACCACAACAATGGTATTTGGCTGGCGCACGCCCATCTACGAAGATCCCAAGATGATGCAGCTATTTGATGGGTTCTCCGAGTTTTCGGATATCAATCAGACCGGGACGGCGGCGATGGTTGATTTCTTCCCGCTTTTGGGCAAGTTGCCTGAGTTTCTTGTACCGGCGCAGGGAAAGGCGAAGGAGTTGCATAAGAATGAAAAGGCGCTGTATTTGAGCCATTGGTTGCAGGCGAAGAAGGATATCCGGGCTGGTACTATCAAGCCGTGTTTCTGTGAGGGCATGTACGAGGCGCAGAAGTCCGAGGGTTTCAGCGATGACCAGGCTGCTTATATCTCCGGTACACTTCTCGAGGCTGGGTCTGATACTACTTCTTCCACGCTCTACGCCTTCGTCCAAGCAATGCTCGTCTACCCCGACGTGCAGCGCAAGGCACAAGCCGAAATCGACCGCGTTATCGGCCCTTCCCGCATCCCCTCCATGGACGACATCGACTCCCTCCCCTACATCCGCAGCATCATGAAAGAAACACTCCGCTGGATGCCCACGACCATCATGGGTGCCGTCCCACACGCAGTCACACAGGACGACGAGTACATGGGCTACTTCATCCCCGCGGGCGCAGGAGTTCTCCACAACGTCTGGGCCATTCACATGGATCCCAACCGCCACCCTGAACCCCGGCGCTTCAACCCAGACCGGTACTCTGGCGACGAGCAGAGTTTCGGCGATGCAGCTGCAAATCCCGACCCATCCAAGCGCGATGTCTTTACCTTCGGTGCTGGACGACGCATTTGTCCCGGTATCCATGTCGCAGAGAGGAGTTTGTTCCTGGGTATGGCGCGGGTTCTGTGGGCGTTTGATATTCTGCCCAAGGTTGATGAGAGGACGGGGGAGAAGATTGTGCCTGATACGGAGAGGTTGACGCAGGGGTTTGTGTGTATGCCGGAGCCATTTGAGGCGGATATTAAGCCGCGGTCGAAGGAGAGGGCAAGTGTTGTGGTTAGGGAGTGGGAGGAGGCGAGGAAGGAGAATTTGGATGAGAGGTTGCAGTGGACGATGTCGGAGAACTAGTAGTTATTCTTTTGTTATGTTATGATACATGATTATGAACATATTACTCATGGATTGCTTGATATCATCCAGCTTGGTAGTCGAAACTAAACAATGCTCGAGGTCGTCCCACAAGCCTTATCATCCAAAACCACATGCTCCGGCGCCTTCCCATCCTTTAACGGAATCATCAACCCCACCGTCTGCTCATCACTCGGATACGTCGCATAATGCCCCTCACCCTGCGTATCCATCGCGAAAAATAATCCATGTCTACCACCCAAAATCACCGACTGCTGCTCTGGCTTCGTCGGCACAGTGATATTGATCGATCCGGAGAGGTACACGACAATCTGCGCGCTGGGCGCATTGTGTAGCCCGTAGTCTTCGTGTGGCGGGCGCACAACGTAGTTTACTTTAGATACGTCTGCGAGATCCAGGTTCATGGCGCCGGCCGCCGTGCCATCGAGGGTCGCGGCGTCGAAGGGGGTGGTTATTTGCCAGCATTCGAAGGCGGAGGAGGTGTTGTCAGGAGTGTTGACAATGGCAGTTGCGGTGAGGTGTTTGTTCTGGTTCTTGCTAGGAGCGGCCAGGACGCTGGAGGAGAGGGAGAGGAAGGAGAGGAGCGTAAAGAGGCCCATTTTGTATGATAAATTGGGTATGTTTTGCGGATGTATGTGTATGGGGGCACTGTGCTGTTATACAAGTGGTTTGCGAAAAGGATGTGGAAGCCTCAAATGTGCAGCAAGGACGATATCTATCATTTCAATAATCCGCCAATTCCAAAGATCGAAACCGAGCGAACACTCCTATTATTACTATGGAGCTGCTTACAAGCAAGAGACCAATCAAGATCGACGATCGACGAACTATGGCCAGATTGTCGGAGTCAAATCCAGATTATTGCCCCACCGGGATGTTGATCGGAGATAATAATCGGAATTGGACTGTTCATGGCTGAGCTGAGCTATGTTTTTTTGTTCGTACTCCGTATTTAGCTGTCAGCTTGTTGCTCGTTTTCTGGTACACCCACGGCTGAATACACGTGTCGAGTTTCCGAGCGAGTACACAAGAATTAGGGCATTCGCCGCTCTAATCAGAATTTCATGGATTCGAGCTTCGCCATTCCTGCACATGATGTTCGGTTAAAATTTAAATGTCGAGCCGTATCCTGAAAACAACGCGACTCTCATCCCAGAATCCGGTTCCAACACTCGTTTATGGCCAACGCCACTGAGGCGATCTTCAACGCTGGATATCAGTTTCATGGAGCGGCCACAAAATTTTTCTATATAGCAGTGACACCAATCGTAAGTCAACCTATCTTTCTTCCTCATTCTCCGGCCCTTGAGCATCCGTGTTAAATGAGCTCACCGTTCCATTTTATCTAGCTGATGGCTCGCTTAGTTTTAACTCGTTACTCTTCGAAGGTAATTCTACACTCGCGGCCTACATGCGTGCCTGGTTCGTGTCTTTTGTCGTGCACCTCGGCCCTAGCGGGTACAGTGCTTACGGTCCGGCTGCAGCGCCAGCTTGGCCGGGGAAACGACCAAGGAATTTGGCCGCAATGGTGAGAAAGGGGCAAAGAGTAGGAATTGTAGCCTTGATCATTTTCCAATCATTGCACGGGCTGAGACCATGTTGTGAACGCCTGTTTAAGCAGCATCTGGATGCGTAATGCTTACATGACTCAAGTATTGTAATTAAGTACTATCCATAAGTCCAAATCTCTCCTACATTTCTTCTTGCACTTCTCATGTCCTTAGGTACTCCATACATCCAAAATTCTGGATGGTGAGAGTCGGGCGATGCCAAAGATAGAAAGAATGGCACCAAGGTTGGCCAATCCTGTAAGGCTCAGGTCCAAGTAGGCTATCAGTAATTTTAGCACACTGGTCACTGTTACAGACCTTATCCTGTCAGCCTCACGTGACGATGCGGGGAGTTAAGGCAGAATCATTGGGTATGCTCAATGGGATGATCAG